TTTCCCTTCCTCTTTCTTCCTTCTCTACCTATTCTTGGACTGCAACTCCCAGCAGTCCTCCTGGTCGATCTACCTAGCTACTATCTATCTCTGTCTAATCTATCTATCTTATCTATCTGGAGGATTACTGGGAGTTGCAGTCCAGGAATAGGAAATTGGAAATATGGAGGGATTGGGATGCTCTCAAAGAAATCCAAGGAGAAGAAAGCTTGCAGCTTGGAAGCAGTGCATTTGAATCACCCTCCTCTCCTAAAGGGCCTGGTTTAGGGGATGCTGGGAGCTGTAGTCCAGAAGAGAATGTGGATATGGTATTGTGTGTTTTGTTTGCCAGGGGAGTCATTTTTGCACATGCGCTGTAACATCTTTTCGGTTTTTGTTTTTTTTTGCTTTTTAAATCCCTTCTGCTGTGGTTTTCAGTGTTTTTATGAGTGATGGTCATAAAAACTGAGAAGTGTCTTGTGTCCAAATTTGGTGTCAATTTGTCCAGTGGTTTTTGAGTTATGTCAATCCCACAAACGAACATTACATTTTTATTTATATAGATAACTAGCCGTCCCCTGCCACGCGTTGCTGTGGCCCACATGGGGGTTCTGTGTAGGAGGTTTGGCCAAATTGTATCATTGGTGGGGTTCAGAATGCTCTGTGATTGTAGGTGAACTACCAATCCCAGCAATTACAACTCCCAAATGTCAAGATTCTGTTTTCCCCAAACTCCACCAGTATTCACATTTGGGCATATTGAGTATTCGTGTAGAGCTTGGTCCAGATCCATCATTGTTTCAGTCCACAGTGCTCTCTGGATGTAGGTGAACTACAACTTCAAAACCAAAGGACACTGCCCACCAAAACCTTCCAGTATTTTGTTGGTCATGGGAGAACTGTGTCCCAAATTTGGTTCGATTCCATCGTTGGTGGGGTTCAGAATGCTCTTTGATTGTTGGTGAACTATAAATCCCAGCAACTACAACTCCCAAATGACAAAATCATTTTTTTGGAGTGGACATACATTGGGTTGTTAAGTGTCTTGTGTCCAAATTTGGTGTCAATTCGTCCAGTGGTTTTTGAGTTCTGTTAATCCCACAAACGAACATTACATTTTTATTTATATAGATAGATAGATATAGATATAGACAGATTAAATATTATGCTGGAATGGACATACAAATACCTGAGGAAGTAACGGGCTGCCATCCATTTGCAGAGGCGATCCCACTGGAGGTCAGGAAAGAATGGAGCATTTCTGGTTCAGGGTCGTATACTCCCCAAAACCCTCTTCCTGCAGTGAAACATACTGGGATGTAAAGTATACTGTAATTGCACTTTATATGTAGATGCGGATCGTGCAATGCACTATTGTTCCTTACCATTTGTTTTCACAATGTACACAGGTTGGGATTCTTTCTTCTCCGCAGAGATGCACTCGCTTTGTGTGTGGAAGCCCAACACTTGCAGGGAAGGTGTGATCTCTTCCAAGGCAATCGCATCCTAAAAGGAATTCAGAAGTAAATTCTAGACAGTGGAAGTTTGGCCCAATGGCAACAGACGCAATCCTTTGCTAAGTGATGGTCACATTATTGACCTTGATTTATGGGAATTATAGTTCACTTGCATCCAGAGAAACTGTGGCCACCACCGACAATGGACCAGGACCAAACTTGGTACAGAGAAGCCCCATGATAAACTGAACATACTGAAGCATTTGTGGGAACTGACCTTGATTTTGGGAGTTGTAGTTCACCCTTATCCAGAGAACACTGTACCGAGCTGACGTTGGATCTGGACCAAACTTGGCACACAGACCCAATATGGCCAACTGTGCATAAAGGCAGTGTTTGGGGGTGATTGACCTTGGATCTGGGAGTTGTAATTCACCCTTACCCAGAGAACACTGAATCCAGCTGACGTTGGATCTGGACCAAACTTGGCACACAGAAACCTTGGTAACATATTGGAGATTCACCCACGCAGGAGTTGTAGTTCATCCTGCTTTCAGATATAACCAAACTTAACAGTTGGGGGTATGTCAGTACTTTGAGCACTAGCTCCACTGATGTCCTTTTTAACCAGGAAGAATAAAGACATTTATTTATTTACTTACTATATTTGTATACCGCTCCTCTCAGCCCTTGGGCGACTCAGAGCGGTTAACAATAGCAAAATTCAATGATCAAAACCATCATAAGACAGTTAAAAACAATTAAAACAGTAGCATTATAAACAGTCAATATAAATCAATAAAACATCTAATTAGCATCTCATCTGCTTTTATAATAATAATAATAATAATAATAATAATAATAATAATAATAATAATAATAATCTTTATATATACCCCGCCACCATCTCCCCAAAGGGGACTCGGGCGGTTAATGTAAGGCCAAGGCCAAAAGTACAATACAGCAAAATTAAATACAAGATACAGAAAACAAAATTACATCAGAATAAAATATGTACAGTAGCAAAATAAAACAAATAAAGCAAGTTAACACAATATAAAATCGAGCAGAATGGGCAGGCTTTTGCCTTCGATGTCCTTCTGTATCCCGATTTGACCTTCTGGCTGCTTAGCATGCTGGAGTCCTGAACCCCACGATTTGGGGGAGCTGAAATCACACAATAGCCTTTCTGAGATCTTAGTAGCCAACTTAAAAGCCAAACATTGTGCTTTTACCTGGCTCCCATTTCTGTAAGTCACTGACAGACGAAGCGGATCCTGGTCACAGACCAATTGCAAGACGTTCCTTTGCCGCCGTCTGCATCGGTCATTGCAGACGCTGTCCAGATGGTCTGCTTTGCAAAGGCAAAGTCCAAGGACTCTGTCGTATCCCTGGAAGTCTTGAGGATGGGTGCAAATCTAGAAGAAGCGAGACAGCAGCAAGAACTAGATCTACCAAGGATCCAAACAGGAATCGCTTGACCCGTATCAACCCCCTCCATTTATGGCACCTTGTCTGTACAGTATTGTGTCCATCCTTCTTTGGTCAAGCACACTCCTTCTTGGTTTCGGACTGCTCCATCCCGGCAGATGTCGTATACTTCCTTCACGCAGTCCCATCTCCTGTCATTGGTTGGGTTTCTATAACCAGGAGCGCATGGGCATTGAGCATCACTAGGCTGGAAAGAGAAATGAATGCCCTCTGTATATATTTATTCATTTCCAGCAACTCCATCCTCAAATCTCCCAATTGAGGTACCATTCTAAGGTTTGACCTTGATGGAAATGTGTCGAATGATTGAGGTCTGGAACCACTTGAACAGCCACAGTTGGCATCCTGGGAGTTGTAGTTCTACATTGACTGGTGTCTCTCCAAGCTCCAACTTCAATGATTCTATAGCAGGCATGGGCAAACTTTGGCCCTCCAAGTGTTTTGGACTTCAACTCCCACAATTCCTAACAGCCGGTAGGCTGTTAGGAATTGTGGGAGTTGAAGTCCAAAACACTTGGAGGGCCGAAGTTTGCCCAGGTCTATTCTATAGCATTGAGTCACAGGAGTTAAGTGGTGCCAAACTGCAGTCATACTGTGCCTTGAGAGATCAATATGAAGGAATGGTGACGCAGAAAAGTCAGTTACCTGGAAAATCCGACCTTTCCGAAGGCATTTGCAAACCGTTTGGCCTTCTTTGGGTTGGACGGCTTCGGAGCCGCATGGAAAGCAAGCCGACTGGCCGGGTTTATCACTGAAGAAATCCACAGGGCAATGCAAACATTGATGTGGAGGAAGACTTTCCAGAGGACGGAAGGTGCCTTCTGGACATGGAACCGGGGCTGAGCCATCATCCAGGCAGGAAAAACCTAGAACCGAAAAGGGTGCATTGAAATTAATTGGGATAGGGCCAGACTATAGCACAGCTGGTAAATCACCACCAGCAGCAATAAGATCTACCAACCGAAAGGTTGCCAGTTTGAAGCCCAGGTCGGCGTGAGCACTTGACTGTCAGCCCAGCTCACTGTTTACCTCTGCCAGCATTTCTAAACCCTGAGAGTGTAATGAGTGGGTGTCAGAGGGGTCACCAAAGACCCTTAGAAAACACAGTATTTTCTGTTGGTCATGGGGGTTCTGTGTGGGAAGTTTGGCCCAATTCTATTGTTGGTGGGCTTCAGAGGACTATTTGATTGTAGGTGAACTAGAAATCCCAGCAACTACAACTCCCAAATGAATGCCGAGGTCTATTTTTCCCAAACTTTTCCAGTGTTCACATTTGGGCATATTGAGTATTTGTGACAAGTTTGGTCCAGATCCTTTATTGTTTGAGTCCACAGTGCTCTCTGGATGTAGGTGAACTGCAATTCCAAAACACAAGGTCAATGCCCACCAAACCCTTCCAGTGTTTTCTGTTGGCCATGAGAGTTCTGTGTGCCAAGTTTGGTTCAATTCTATTGTTGGTGAGGTTCAGAATGCTCTTTGATTGTAGGTGAACTGTAAATCCCAGCAACTACAACTCCCAAAATGACAAAATCAATCCTCTCCAACACCACCAGTATTCAAATTTGGGCGTATTGGGTATTTGTGCCAAATTTGGTCCAGTGAATGAAAATACATCCTGAGTACCAGATATTTACATTACGATTCCCAACAGAAGCAAAATTGCAGTTATGAAGTAGCAATGTAAATGATGTTGTGGTTGGGGGTCACCACAACATGAGGAACTGTATTAAGGGGTCGCGGCATTAGGAAGGTTGAGAAACACTGACCTAAGCAGTTCAAAAACAGCTTGATCTGTAAGTAGAGAAACTAAAAAGCCGGGGAGGTATTTTACAACACCATAAAAGAAAAAGACCAGAAAATGCTGGTGACCAAAAGGAAGGAGGAAGTCCTGATGGCTCTTTGCCATAGAGAATGGAGCAATAGCACCCCTTGTGGCTGGATTTGAGCACAACCTCCAAGGTGCTGAAAACCTGGATGTGAACACAACATACCTCCTTTCTGTCTGTTCTGTGTACTGTGATCTGCCCTGAGTCCTCCTTGGTGAGATAGGGCAGAATGTAAATAAAGTGTTGCTGTTGTTATTGTTATTATTATTATGATATGAATGTGCCACCAAATGTTCAATACTATAGAATCCTGGGAGTTGTAGTTCTAAAAGGTCTTGAGCCTTCTCTGCCCAAGAGTGGTGGTGCCTCAGCAAACTACGACTCCCATAATTCTATAACATTGAGTCATTGCAATTAAAGGGATGTCATACCGCATTAATTCAATGCCATAGACACACAACATATATAGACAGACAAACAGAGGCTATTTAACATTCCAGCTTTATGAGGGTATTCTGGTCACCAGGGGAGCTGTCACTTCACTGTCCATTTGCGACACTGATGGAGTACTTCCTCATTCTTTTGCACGTTTGCTGGAGATGTTATGGCGTCGTAAATTAGTTAAATTATCCTCCCCGCATAAGTGGTACCAAAATTTCCTACTTGACAGGTGCAATTGTCTTTCTGGCTGCAAATTTATTTATTTATTTATTTCGGGTACTTTTACCCTTCTCAATCCCCGAGGGGGGACTCAGGGCGGCTTACAAAAAAGGCACAATTCGATACCTATACAAATTACACATAATGTACAAAAACCATAGTTAAAAACAGTTATCACAGTTAAAACAATCAAAACAACCAGTACATAACACATCATATAAAACTATTCTCGTGCTCAGCGTTTCGTCTTTCAGAGTTCCATAGTTCTAATCCATTAATCATTTCCTAATCATRYTCAAAGTTCTTTCTTTATCTGCCCGATTGTCCGAATGCCTGGTCCCAAATCCATGTTTTCAGTTTTTTCCTAAAGGAAAGGAGCGATGTTGCAGATCTAATTTCCCCGGGGAGTGAATTCCACAGGTGGGGGACCACCACTGAGAAGGCCCTGCTCCTCGTCCCCGCCAATCTCATTTGTGATAGAGGCGGGGTCGAGAGCAGGGCCTACTCAGAAGATCTTAGACTCCGGAGTGGGATGTAGAGGGAGATCCGTTCGGACAGATACACTGGGCAGGAACCATATAGGGTTTTGTAGGTCAAAACCAGCACTTTGAATTGTGCTCGGAACTGGATCGGCAGCCAGTGGAGCGGACACAACAGGGGGGTGGTATGCTCCCTGTATGACGCCCCGGTGAGCAGTCTGGCTGCCTCCCGCTGGACTAGTTGGAGTTTCCGAACAGTCTTCAAAGGCAACCCCACGTAGAGTGGTTAAAAGGTTAACAGCAAGCTGCACAAATGGTTGGAAGCTCACTCCGACCCGGGCTGGCTTAGAACTCATAACCTTTTGATCAGTCCTGGTGCAGGATACTATTAGTATCTTGCTTTCCTCTTTTAAGCAGGACTCAAAGTGGCTAATAAAGACAAAAGATACTTCTTTAAACAAACTCAAAAGCTTTCCTTCAAAAATATAAAGACACCACAAGCCATTTATCAAAACATGATTTAAGAATAATATAATAAAGGCACCGGAGAATTGCAGACTTTGAAAGAGACAGGCAACACGTCGCTCTTGTACCTGCTGGACAAGGCAAGGCGTTTTGTGGTCTCCACGAACAGTTCACTCCATTTCCAGAAATATCTTCTTGTCCTTGTAGTTCCCCATTTTCAGCCCGGCAAGAGGGGAAAACCAAAAGCGCAAACAGAAAATGCAACATATTTCTGGGTTTCAGAAGAGAGAAAGACCCAGTCCTTTGCAGAGCAACCCTGGAAGAGAAAAGCTTTGCCTTTTAAATATTTCATAATCAGGGAAAGAAACGTTAACCAGATGGAAAGGGATCGCTTTGCATTTCTACGAGGTTCAGGTGACACAAAATGGGATGGAATAGAGTCACTGCATGCGATATAAAGACCTTATAGACCTCGTACATACAGACCAAAATATTGCAGGTGGGACATTCCTGTTGTTGTTGTCATTTTATCTTCTTGTTGTTGTTAATAATAATCATCATCACCATCACCATCATCTGTTGCCTAGTCTTGCCTTAATATACAAACATCAGTTCCCACTTTGAGCTGAAAGGGGAGACAGGTAGTAGTAGTAATAATAATAATAATAATAATAATAATAATAATAACATGGCTGTGGCTCACAAATGGAACTTTGAAAAAGGAGACAAAGGAAGGCCTGATTCTGGCAGCCCAAGAACAAGCCATTCGAACCAATGCCATCAAAGCCAGAATTGAAAAGTTGACAACACATCCCAAATGTCGACTCTGCAAGGAAGCAGATGAAACAATAGATCACATCCTCAGCTGCTGCAAGAAGATTGCACAGACAGACTACAAGCAGAGGCATAACACTGTTGCTCAGATGATTCATTGGAACTTGTGCCACAAACAGCATCTGCCTGTGACAAAGAGCTGATGGGATCACAAGCTGGAAAACGTTACAGAGAATGAACACGCCAAACTCCTCTGGGACTTCCAAATTCAGACAGACAGAGTTTTGGGGCATAATACTCCTGACATCACAATCGTGTTAAAAAACAAAGTATGGATCATCAATGTCGCAATCCCAGGTGACAGCAGGATTGAAGAGAAACAACCGGAAAAGCTGACACAATATGAGGATTTAAAGATCAAACTACAAAAACTCGGTGGCACAAGCCAGTAAAGGTGGTCCCAGTGGTGATGGGCACACTGGGTGCAGTGCCTCAAGACCTTGGCCTGCACTTAAACAATCGGCACTGACAAAATTACCATCTGCCAGCTGCAAAAGGCTACACTACTGGGATCTGCACACATTATTCACCGATATATCACACATTCCTAGACACTTGGGAAGTGTCCGATGTGTGATCCAATTCAACAGCCAGCTGAGTGTCTGCTGTGGACTCATTTTGTTGTGTTTCAAATAATAATAATAATAATAATAATAATAATAATAAATATACTTCTGGGTTGGACATATATTTTAAATGCAGAAAAATCCACATTCAAGCTTGGAGTGCATCTAGAATTACTATAGTTTGATACCGCTTTAACTGCCCTGGCTCAATACTATTGAAACATGGGAGTTGTAGTTTGCATTGCTGTGAGTTTTCCAGGCTGCATGGCAATGTTCCAGAAGCATTCTCTCCTGACGTTTCGCCCTCATCTGTGGCAGGCATCCTCAGAGGTTGTGAGGTCTGTTGGAAACTAGGCAAGTAAATAGGTGTTGTAGGTTTTTTCAGGCTATATGGCCATGTTCTAGAGGCATTCTCTCCTGACGTTTCGCCTGCATCTGTGGCAAGCATCCTCAGAGGTAGTGAGGTCTGTTGGAACTAGGAAAATGGGTTTATATATCTGTGGAATGACCAGGGTGGGACAAAGGACTCTTGTCTGTTGGAGCTAGGTGTGAATGTTTCAACTGACCACCTTGATTAGCATTTGATGGCCTGGCAGTGCCTGGGGCAATCTTTTGTTGAGAGGTCGTTGTGTCAGGAGTGACTTCTGGTGTGAGAGAATGGGCCGTCTGCAAGGACGTTACCCAGGGGATGCCTGGATGATTTGATGTTTTTATCATCCTTGTGGGAGGCTTCTTTCATGTCCCCGCATGAGGAGCTGGAGCTGATAGAGGGAGCTCATCCGCCTCTCCCCAGATTCGAACCTGCGACCTGTCGGTCTTCAGTCCTGCCGGCCGGTTTGCCTGATTGTTTCCTCTCAGTGATTCCAGCCATGAAAGCCTTCGACAATACATTAGGCAAGTAAAGCTTGTCGGGAAACCAGCACTCTTTGGGAAAGAAGGCTAAGGACCTTGTAAAACTATAACCCCCAGGAACCCATAGCATTGAGCTATAGCAGTCAAAGTGGCG